CTATAATCATTGTGCACTGCTGGATACTATTGCATGTTCCATAGAAGTCTCTGCTCTCTATCTGTGGTACTGTTGACTTAAGATTACTTGTGTGAATGAACAGGACTCCATGCATTATTAGCATCCAGACATCTTGTATGTGTGTGTGTGTGTGTGTGTGTGTGTGTGCGTGCGTGGGCATTTTTGTGATTTATGAGGACACAAATTTGTATAATGACATAGGTATTACAACGAGAAGGTGATAAATGAGGACCTTTTGAGTGTCCCCATATTTCAAAAGGCTTATAAATCATTCAGAATTACTTTTTTTGAAAATCTAAAACTGCAGAAAGTTTCCTGTAAGGGGTAGGTTTATGTGTATGGTTGGTGTAAGGCGATAGAAAATACAGTTTGTACAGTATAAAAAACATTACGCCTATGGAATGTCCACACAATTCACAAAAACAAACCTGTGTGTGTATGAACATGCATATGCTATCTAGACAATACCTCATGTAATAGCAAATATGTATGTAAGTCATGTTGGTGTGTACACCTTTACACATGCATGTATTCATAGTGTATTGTATAAGGATGTTTCTCAGATTTAATTTAATAATTTTGAATAGATAATAGGGATGCACTGATTAAAATTCTGGCCAGTACAATAATTATTCAATGATTCAATATTAAAAACCTCAACTGATTTAATCCATGTTGTGATGCTTAAGAAAATGTAGGCACCACAATATTATATGTTACAGTATGAAATATGGATAACTATTGATTTTGAGATCTGTTCAAGAATGTAATGACAAAAAAGAGGTGGAAAAGTGCTCTCAAAGAGTTACATTTCTGCTCTAATGCCGGTCTTTTTTGACCTGGAAGATATTTTTTAAAAATGCATAGTTTTTAGAAAAGGAACCTAACTTTGCAGATGGTCCATAACTATCAAAATGCACATTTCCTTTTTTTAGATAAAAAAAACAAAAACAAAACTGAGAAAAGAAAAGAGTTCTGACCCGGGAATAAACGGAGGCTTTACACATCATGATGTTATGCAGACTTTTGTTTTTTACATCTTGATTTTTTTCTCACATCTATGAGACTTTGAGTACCTATGAGTATCTATTTAGGCTTTTTCCAATATCTTGCACATACTTTTGTGACTGACATTTTTTGGTAAACATGAATATACATGATTATTGATGAATCATTGCAGCATGAAAAATACATCTTTTTTATTTGAAGGTGAACATATTTGCATGTAAAAAGAATGTTTTGTTTGAACATTTTTCAGAGTAATATGTTTTTTATGTTGTTTTGTTAAAAAACTAATATGCAAAAATTGTACAGTATGCAGATTTTTGGAATGCATTATGCGAGTTAATATAGCACTTAAAAATAGAACTCATCTAAAATGTAAGAACATGCAGAAAAGATAATCTAGAATTAAAAGTCTAATATTGGTCACTAAATATCCAGTATCAATTGCTACCAATCAAAAGTCACCTTTATTGTTCGATAACCAATATGGTCCCAATAAATTGTACAAGATAACATTAAAACTCGACTGATAAAAACACTTGAGCCAATATATAACTTATATATTGCAAAAATCAAAAATAAAAGTCCACATTTAAATCTATAACACCATTTAAGATGTTTACAAAGTGTATCCGTTGTGAATTAGCTCTTTTATCTAAGACAAACATGCAGAATAGTGCAGATGTGTAACAGAAACCCATGTGACAGCACTTCCTTTTATGCATTCCCAGAACACATGCTACTATAAGTCGTCCCCTCCAGCCTCATTCCTGAGACTTTAAGAAGGGCAGGCGAGTGTGTTTGACTGCTGTAGCTGTAAAGTCACTCAGTGGTGTGGTTGTACACATTTGGGGATGCAGTAACATATAGAATAGAGCTGTGTAGAGGACAGCGGCCACTCTTATGTCCCCTTCTCTGGACTCCCCCTCCTCTTGATAGAGTATTACGCTCACACTCAACCTATTGTCTGGTTGCATGATCTCAGCCCTGCACACACACACACACACACAGAACGACTGTCAATCACAGCTACACATTAACAGAGCCACACATTTATAGCTAAGTGACAATACTGTGCTTTGTTCATTAATAATGCCTCTCTCGATCTCATAGCCAGATACAGCCTTAGGCTCCAGACATGCAGCTGAGCATTACACTCTGCCAGTCTCAGGAATACACCGCAAAATACGCCTGAAAAAAACCTGACTGCAGCAGTTTCCAACTCCCAACATTTAAAGATTTTGTTTTGTTTTGTTCTTCTTGAGTGTTCTTTGCACACAATTAATATTTTATGGCAACGCTTTGATGGATGGGTTTATTGAATGTGAACGCACGCAGGTTCACCAGCCAGAACTTGCTGTGTTTGTTTTTCAATGTCATTTTCAAGTCCTTATATGTTCTTAAAGGAATATTCCAAGTTGAACTCACACCCCATTGACATATTTGTGGCTGGCTCGTCCCACCTCTAAGGGCTGATTTCCAGAGTAAAACTCTGCTCTACAAAGGCAAAATGCATAAATTCTAAATTGAGTCGAGTCTCTGTGATCTGTGTTGTGATGGACAAGTTTGACTCAGATTCCGAGAAAACACACTGTAGAAATTGATATCAAATCAATCTAAATTCAGTCAAAAAAAATTGATGCCATTTTCTCAGATTAGTTTTTTTTTTTGTTGCCGTTTTAGAGCAAAACTCAACAGTAGCTCACATAAAATTTTCACAGAGGAATTTGTGAAATCAGTTGCTTTAAAAAACAATACAAACTTTACATGTTTTTCAGAATATTTGTATAACCAAAAAAAAAAAGTTCTTAAAACATTAAAAAACTGGATGTTTTAAACCTTTTCCGCACATTCTAAAACAATGTTGTCTTCATTTAATGTTATGGCATTGTTAGAAAAATTTTCTTTTAACAAAACTGTTAAGACCTGTTCACACCAAAGACGATAATTGTAATGATAACTGTAACTAAAAAGTTTTAATAATCACTCTAAGTCTAATTCTATGACAGTGGTTAAGGCCACACCACAGCTATAATGGTAACATCACAGAGGAACGATATCATTAGAATCACTTTTGAATTTTTTAGTTGACGAACGATAAAAACATTGACAGCAAATCAGAATCCACCTGACATTAAAGAGCTTGAGTGTTTAAAGCGGCAAATGACAGAACTGTATTGTGCGCTAATAATAAACAGAACGATATCGTCTGTTGGTGTGGTTGTCAATTTAGTTATTGTTATAATTATCTTTATATATATCATTCTTGGTGTGCCTTTAGCTGGATGGCTTCCATTCTCTGTTCATTTTTTACAAACTGTAGTTGAGTTTTACTAAAACACAAGCTGTACTGAATTTAACCTGGAATATTCTTGCTATAACTAGAACATAGCCAAGAAAGATTAGTTTATCGTCATGTCTTACAAGACCAGAATCTCAAATCAGTTCACATCTGTTGCGGTGCATGCTGGGTAGTCTTGAATGCCACATACTGTCAGTTAAGTAATGTGCTCATGGTGAACAGTCCTCTGTAATGCCTCTCTGCAGATACACTGCAGTACACTCAAGAGTTATGGCCTAAGAGTCATGGAGACCCTTGTGTATTTTTTATGGGTGGGGTGAAGGGAGAGAGAGCAAGAGAGAGAGTTTTTCTAACAGTTGTCATGTCTCTCTGTCACCTTCGGGCCAATAACCCTGGATTCCATCTCTGTCTGAAGCTGTTTCTCACTATTATTTTCTTCTCTTTTTAAGTCTGTTTGGGGACTTTTCAGTTGTCTTGTACTACATGCTGACCTGCAGCTTCTTGGCGACCTCTGACCTTGCCCTCATTATGTTAATGACCTTGTGTTGTGTCCACTGCATGAAGTCTTTGTGTGCGCTGTGAGTGGATGCCTTGTGTGGAAGTGGCCACTTCAAAAGGGCTATATTTGTGTACAGAGGTTTCTTCTGCATCTTGCAAGAACAGTCTCGTACAATTGTGCTATTTACAAGAGGTTTTCAGCCTATATTAAATGCCCACAAAACTGAGGGCAGGGCTGAAATTATTCTCTGTAATAAACTGTAAATACACTGATCAAAATTGTGTGGTTGGTAAAAATTTTTAATGTTTTTGAAGGAAGTCTACTGACCAAGGCTGCATGTATTTGATCAAAAATACAGTGAAAGATCAATATGTAATTATTGTGAAATATTATTACTATTTAAAATAACTGTTTTTTATTTTAATATTTTTTCAAATCTATTTTATTCCTGTGATGGCAAAGCTGAATTTTCAGCAGCCATTATTTCAGTCTTCAGTGTCACACACGATCCTTCAGAAATCATTCTAATATGCTGATTTCTAACATTTATTTTTAATGTTATCAATGTTGAAAGCTGTTGTGCTGCTTAATATTCTGTGGAAACTGTGATATGTTTATTTCAATACTTTTTATTAATCGAAAGAACAGCATTTATTTAAAGTAGAAGTCTTTTATAACATTGTAAATAGCTTTACTGTCACTTTTAATCGACTTAAAGGGATGGTTCACCTAAAAAGAAAAATTACCCCATGATTTACTCACCCTCAATATAAATATTATTCTTACACAAACACAGCGATTTGCTTCAGAAGGCCTTTACTAACCCCCCCCCCCAGAGCCGTGTGGAGCACTTTTTATGATGGAAGGAGACTTTTTTAGGATGGAAGGAGTTTTCTGGAAGAGCCAGAACTTAAAAAAAAAAAAGAGTCTTTCTTTCAGACGATTGTATTCGTCTGAAAGAAGAAAGTCATATACAACTAGGATGACTTGAGGGTGAGTAAATCATGGGGTCATTTTCATTTTTGGTTGAATTATCCCAATGCATCCTAGCTGAATCAAAGTATTATTTCTTTAAAAAATAACAATATGAGTTGTGACAGTAAATTGCTATTCAAATGATCCACAAACTCATATACAGCATAGTTAGATCTAATTATTTTCTTTCCCCACCAGTTTGCACAGGCACCAAGAATGCTCTCAGCTCCACAGGCACGCCTGCACAACACTACAACAACCTAAAGGAGCGCTACACCGGATGTGAGATCGTCATGGGCAATCTTGAGATCACACAGATGGAGAGTGACCTCGACTTCTCCTTTCTTGGTGTAAGAGAATATTTTTTACACATATATAATGGTTGATTTGGCCATAAGATATAATTCTGATCGTATGCTTCTCTTTTAGAGTATCCGAGAGGTCACAGGTTACATCCTCATTGCTATGAACCAGTTCAGCAGGTTGCCGCTGGACCAACTAAGAGTGATTCGTGGTAGCAGCCTGTATGAGAAGGAATGGGCCCTTTCTGTCTTCCATAATTTTGAGAGTCACAGTGGCCTGGAAGATCTGGACCTCACCAACCTCACAGGTGAGATGAGATTGTAATAAACTGTTAGTGAGGGAAATGTGCTAAAAGAGTCAAAGAGATGTCACATTTGAGTACAGAAATTAGTAATTTGTCCAAATTGAACATGAAACCACAATGCAGCGTGCCACTGCAGAAACAGAAACAAAACATACCTGCTACAGTGGTGGCCAAAATTATTAGTACACTAGTATTTTCACTTGCTAAAAAATGGTTTTAAGTCAGGTATTTTTTGCTGTAGTGTGTCAGTGTGTCAAATATCAGTTTACATTTCTGAGCATTTATTTTGCCATTAATTGTGATAATCCAGGGAGATTTGTGTTTGTACAAGGAGTCTGACAACAGCCAGAGCTCCACACAGAGATCAGATCTGATCATCATCCAGTCTGTCTGGAATGACATGAAGAAACAGAACAAAGTGAGACAGACTAAATCCAGAAGAACTGTGGCAACGTCTCCTAGATGATTTAAGAGACCTACCTGCAAAGCTACCTGTGCGCAAGTGCACCTATATGGCAAAGGCTGCTTTAAACGCAAAGGATGGTCACACCAAATGTTGATTTAATTTAGTAAATAGAAGTTAACTGATAAAGAAAATCTATTTATGACATTATTTTTGACAGCATCCTCTTTTTACATCATTTTTACACTAGTGCCTAAAACTTTTTAACAGTACTGTAGCTTTGCAGGAAGGTCTTTTAAAGCATCTTGGAGACGTTGCCACAGTTCTTCTGGATTTAGTCTGTCTCAGTTTGTTCTGTTTCTTCATGTCATTCCAGACAAACTGGATGATGAAGAGATCTGATCTCTGTGTGGAGCTCTGGCTGTTGTCAGTCTCCTTGTACAAACACAAATCTCACTGGATTATTAGAGTTAATGGCAAAATGAATGTTTGGAAATGTAAGCTGATATTTCCTACTGACACACTACAGCAAATATAGAAATAACTGACTTAGCTGGTGAAAATACTGGTGTTCTAATAATTTTGGCCTAAAAAAGATTTGGTGATGAATTTATTTTGAAACAATTTTCCCTCAGAAATTGCTAGTAAATTTCACAAATAATAACAAATAAACAAGTTTTGTTGTTGAATTAAACATGAGTACAAAGACTGAAGTAGTATTTTCTTTAAACGTAATCCAATAGTAATTTTTACAATGTGAAAGAGAGAGTTTTTTTATCACTTGGATCATAAATGCTTCCTCGGATCATTCCTTTCTGTGGAGCATTTATGACCCATGTCTTGTAAAGCTACCTTCTTAAGACAAAAGAATGTGACAGCTTGATTTGACATCAGTGATTTGTGGAAATGTGTAGGAGTGTTTAGGAATCTGGCACATTTGCATAGTGTAGCACTGGCACACCCATGTCACTCAATAGAGCAGAATACTATACAGACAGGCCCTCTGAAGAGCTTGAGCTTGGCAGTAGTGTGTCTGTGTGTTTTGTAGGTCACATCAGTTGACTTGTTTAGAAAAGAACATATATTGTATGTCTTCTGCGTTAGCTGAGCAAGCAGTATCTTACTTTTTCTGCAGATCTTCTGAGACATTTACAAGAATTAGAACAACCCCTCTTTATTTCTGTCTTGAGAGTAAAATGAAACTTAAAATAACTCTTCACACACTTAATATAGTACAGTTAATAGACAATACTTTAGACAAGCACAAGTGCAAACAGGTGTTTGTTCCAGCTCTATACATCACATGTTCTGGCTTAAATGAATCAGACTTCCTTCATCGGGTCCGCAGAGATCTTGGAAGGAGGAGTACAGATTGTCCATAACAGGAATCTCAGTTATGCTCCATGGATCAACTGGCGGGACATTGTCAGAGACAGTGATGCTCGCATCCAGATCCAGAACAACGGAAGAAGAGGTTTGTGCATTCACACCTTGATTGGGTGGTTATTGATGGAGAGTGTGAGATAGGTGTGTGTCACTCAATTATGTTTTGATGTCCAGAAACTGTTTTTGTCATTTACTTACCCCTATGTCGTCCCATCCTCGTATTGTTGTCTTTCTTCTGTAAAACACAATAGGAGGTGTGAGGAAGAACATCTGAGCTGTTACTTGCCAGATATGAAAAGTAGATGATGATTTGATAAACAAAAGAGTGCCATAAAAGTAGCTTAAAAGGCTTTCTGATGCCATGTCAAAACTTTTTTTTTTTAAGATAATTATTTTTTTTGGCATTTTGCCTTTATTTGGATAGGACACTATTTCTGAAAGGAAGTGAGGAGAGAGAAGCGCAATGTCGGTGCACTGCCCACGAGGCTATTGTTGCCGACCAAATCTTTTTTGTCCAAAACTGTCACTCTGACAGTTCCTAAATATGAACTACTGATAATGAAAACTGCTTAAACACAGTTTTATCCAGAATTAAATACTGAGTGTGCTCTAGCCTCAATGCACATACATTTTCATGTATATTTTTGTCCCGTCCATTGCTCTTTCGAGTGTGAATCCCACATAAATATGCCGATGTCATTCTCGAAACTTTGCAGTGTGTGCTGTATGTGGCCAAAAAACAAAAGTTTTATACAAATCCTGAACGGATTTATATATAACCTAGAAAGCAAAAAAGAGCACTCCCTTTATAATCACTAAAAAGCTGTCCCTCATCTTAGTCAATCATGATATCATGAAGTTTCGTTATAATAAGAGGATTCGCAAGCTTGCAAAACTCAGCAATGGACAGCAGTGTTTTGAGCGGTGAGTAGATTCTAACTTTAATGCCTCTGATTGGCAGTTGCGTTCAAGAATTCAACAGTCTGTGATTGGCTACATTGTTGAATGCTGCAAAAAAACAAAAAAAAACAATGTAAATAGAAAGCTTTTGATGCTCTCCAGAGTGCAAACACAAATATGCTCTTGATAGTTTGTCAGATTTGTTTTGCCAATATGATGGTAAATAAAGAAAATCTTGAGGTTTTCCTGTGGGTGCTCAGCCATTCGGCGCCTATGAACTGTCATACTGTTATACAAAATGATACGAAGGTGATTCGTCTGTGTGTATTTCAGTGACAAAAACAGTGTGTGCACCTCAGTGTCATGGCCACTGTTTTGGGACCAACCCTAATGAGTGCTGCCACACAGAGTGTGCTGGAGGCTGCATTGGACCAAGAGACACAGACTGCTTTGTGAGTACTAGCACCATTGCCATTATACTCTAATTGCTCAAGATCTGCCACATCTATTGTAAGGGACAATTTCAATGAAAACAAAACATTGTAACAAACTTTTCTCAAGCTTTTAACTCTGATACTCTCCCAACAGGCCTGTCGACATGTCAATCATTCAGGCGCCTGCGTCCCTCACTGCCCTTGGCCTCTGGTGTACAACCGACAGACCTTTCAGCTGGAGCCCAACTCTGAAGCCATGTATCAGTACGGTTCCATCTGCGTACCCAAATGTCCTGGTTAGTTACGAGCGACTATACTCAGTAAAAGCATGAGCCGGAAAATAAATAACCGTTTCTGAGGAAATGGTGGCGTGGTCGATAAAGATCTAGGATTGTAATTTAAAGATAGCTGGTTTGAAACCAGTAAGGTTAGTAAATTATTGTAAATGAACTGTGAATGAACTCTGGGAGCATTCAGTGAGAGATTTGGATGACATGCCTCATTGACAGTGCATCAGAACTGCATTGACGTATCCATGGAAGACCGTGAACAACTTGGTAAACATGACACAAGTTTAAACAAACGCCAGATTTGAATGGTGCTACACCACTCCCCTCTCTGTGTTGTTCTTTTCGATTAAATTTGTGGCTGGAGAGTCCACAATTAACACTCGCCTAACACCACCTGCGTTGGCGTAGCAGAGTAAATAAAACACAGGAGTGATTGCTGGTGCCATTTTAGAAATGTATGATTGCTAGTCTTGAGCAACATCAAATCAGAGATATCAAGTATGCTAAAGAAAATGGACTTTAACTTCCCATTAAAAGCATATTCAGAAAGTCACAGGAAAAAAACACTAAATAAATAATTAACAAAAATATAAAAATTCTTAAAATAATTTAATTAAAATAAAAAATCTTAAATTTAAAAAAATATATATTTTACTTTAAAATAAATATTCTTAAAAAGTCTTTAAAAATACATATGGTTTGTCATTTTAATTATTTTTATTTATAGAAATTCATTTTTTTTATCAGCAACGAACAAATCAAATCATTGTCGCTTTCCATCAGAAGTATATACAGAAAACCACAGTAGCACAAAACAAATAACCACAAAATTATTCCTTTAAAAAATTAAATAATTCCTTTTGAAAAAAATATATTACATATGTTTTTTTATTTATAGAAATTGTATGTATATGAACTTTTTTTTTTTTTAAGGATTTTTAATTACCCAAATGTCCTGGTTTTTACCGAGCGACTATACTCAGTAAAAGCATGAGCCGGAAAATAAATAACCGTTTCTGAGGAAATGGTGGCGTGGTCGATAAAGATCTAGGATTGTAATTTAAAGATAGCTGGTTTGAAACCAGTAAGGTTAGTAAATTATTGTAAATGAACTGTGAATGAACTCTGGGAGCATTCAGTGAGAGATTTGGATGACATGCCTCATTGACAGTGCATCAGAACTGCATTGATTAACGTTTTTGTGGAAACTGAGTTTTTTTTTTCAAGACTTTTTATTTGAAAGTTCAGAATAGCATTTATTGAAATAGGAATCTTGAATACTGTCACTTTATCTTTGATTTTTTAATTCATTTTAATACATCCCTGATTACTAAACGTTTTAATTTCTTTAAAAAAAAATCTTACTCATCCTAAACTTTTAAATGGCACTGTATATATCAGACAATATTGAATATCTAATTGTCTAATATATTCTAATATGAATATCTAAATATCTAACACACTCATTTGCTAATTGTAAACACTCCTTTTACCACTATCTAATGCTCACTTAAAGTAAATTGTTCTCAAAGTTAATCAGAGTGAAAATAAATATAAATTTTTCGTAATGTAAATTATAATTTTGATGCCTAAAATTACTTAAAGATGAATAATTAATTAAAGATTGATTTTAGGTTTTAGTATTCCGTTTCAATTTGAATGTCATTCATTGGTTGTCATTGTAATTTTGGACCCTGTGTGTGTGTGTGTGTGTGTGTGCATGCAGTTGCACATCAGTCATTATTTTGTGTCTCTTATCCCAGTCACATCCCATGTTTATTTAATCTTTCATATGTTTGTCTCTCCACTAAGTGTTTTAATACTTTTTAATCCTGCAGTGATTAACATTGTGTGTGCGTCTCACCATTGTTTTTTTGTGTTCCCTGTGTTTTGTATGTTACTCCCCTCATGTGCTTATGTCTGTCCCACAGCCGCAAGAGGTATGTACTCCCTGCAAACCGCAAAACTAACTGTCTGAAAACCCGTATTTCTGTTCTGCTCTCTCTCAATCTCTCAATGCACAAACATTGTCTTTTTTCTGCTGTGGGTTCCAAGTAATGACGACAATATTCCTGATGAGATGTGAAATGTTTCCGTAAGGATAAGAGGGGCATGCATGAGCACATATTCAGGGTCATGAATGGTTCATCTGCTTTTGTTTTATAATCTGGCACGGGTGCTTATATATAAGTTCTGAAGGGAAATCACTGTGGATCTGTCCCTTCCTTCGTTCAGTCTCCCTTTTTTGCTCCAATTTCTCATTCATTTCATCCTCTTCATCAGGCCCTTCTCTTTGTTGGTGATGAAGATTCCCTCTCTCACGTCTCTAGGACTGCGTTCCTTGCGTGAAATCAGTGATGGCAGTGTGTACATCACTCAAAATAAAAACCTGTGTTATCACCACAACGTTAACTGGACCCAGATTGTCACCAGTAACTGTGATAATGACATCAAGGACAACAAACCCCAGATCAAGTGTGGTAAGTAAAGTTAAGAATGCATACTACTTCTTTCACATATGCATGTTATTATTTTGTCGTCCATCGTTAACCTGTACACAAACAGTCCTTTGTTTCACATGTCTGTGTTCGTGTAAACAGAGGAAGAGGGCCATGTGTGTGACCCACTGTGCTCAGACGCAGGATGTTGGGGCCCGGGGCCTGAGCAGTGTTTGTCGTGCAGGAACCACAGTCGGCATGGCACCTGTGTATCCCACTGCAACCTCTACTCTGGGTCAGTGTGCTTGGTAGATTTATTGTAAGTTTATTAAAAGTTGGGACAGTGTCTGAAGGACTGTGTGTGTCCACAGAGAGCCACGGGAGTTTGCAGCATCAAATGGAGAGTGCCTTGCTTGTCACCCTGAGTGTTTACCCCAAAATGGAAAACGGACATGCAAAGGAAAAGTATGCAACACTTTTACTTAGCCTAGCTGTCCACAGGGGGAACATTTCGGTGTTGATATTGTTGTTAATTTGATTCAATTAAATAAAACTGAAATAAAATATAAATATTTTTGCCAATATTTCAAATTTGTGTTGTAGTAAAACTGAAATAAAAAATAAAGCTAAATATACTGAATAGCAAAATAACTAAAAATACAATTAAAATTAAAAATATTCAAATAAAAAAAAAGAAAAAAAAAAAATATATATATATATATACGAAATAAAAGCAAAATATTATTTTTTCTGATATAAGCATCAAAACAATGCCCTACCGTATTGCAACGCATAAAAGCACTCAATCCAACACAGTCAAGAAAAACTTAGAGGTTGCCACCGTTTAGGCTCTTTTTTTCAGGTCACTTTATTGTGGATGGCAGTGCATGTGTGAGCAGTTGCCCTCCTGGTAAAAGAGAAAAAAAGAAAAATGGCATTAAGCAGTGTGAACCTTGCATTGGCCTGTGCCCCAAAGGTAAAGTGTCCATCTAACCATTATTAATTTACTGGACCACAGCAGCTGAATGCAGAGTCTTGAAGAAGATACAATTCATTTGGTGTCATGTGGCCCCTCAGATTTTCCTCTTTCTCTGTATAGTATGTGAGGGAACGGGAGCCAATCATAGACAGACAGTGGACTCCAGTAACATAGACAGCTTTATCAACTGTACCAAGATCCAAATTTGTGTTGTAGTAAAACTGAAATAAAAAATAAAGCTAAATATACTGAATAGCAAAATAACTAAAAATACAATTAAAATTAAAAATATTCAAATAAAAAAAAAGAAAAAAAAAAAATATATATATATATATACGAAATAAAAGCAAAATATTATTTTTTCTGATATAAGCATCAAAACAATGCCCTACCGTATTGCAACGCATAAAAGCACTCAATCCAACACAGTCAAGAAAAACTTAGAGGTTGCCACCGTTTAGGACACTGTGGACTAGCTTTGGCTCTTCCTGCTGACTTGAATGGTGATGCTTTCCGTTTGTCTGTTGATGGCCTTTCATTTTTAACCAGAAATGTGCACGCTGCTTTTCTGATGTTCACTGAAGTTTTCCGTGTATTTTTCCCGTGTCACTAGAAATGTTTCCGTTTTGAATCGTTGTTACCAAAGGCGAGACACGTGAGGAAAAAATAAACGATCTGTTGTGGGACTATATTCTGTCATATATCGTGACATTCTACCGTCCTTGCTGGAAATGAAATGACTGGTTGATATGTCCTGATCTCAATAAAGTTTACTCAAGTTTTTGTCTGTGGAGGTTTGGCCAGGACCGGTTCCAGAATTAAATCAACATAATTTATGTTCCGTCCATTGCCAATCACTGCTATTTCGAGAGTGAATCCCGCATAAATATGCAGATGTCATTCCCGAAACTTTGCAGGGTGTAGCCTATGTGTCCGAAAAACGAAAACTTCATACAAATTCTAAATGGATTATAGCCTACACTAGAAAGTGTGCAAAGTGCGGTCCCTTTATCACTAAAAAGCGTCACTCATCTTCGTTCATCGCGATCTTACAAAGTTCAGTTATAATCAATGAAGCTCTCTAAACTGCTGTTACGGAACTGACGAGACGTGAGACGTGCGGATCCATCTGCAAGGCTTTATTGTGGAGAAGACAGAGACGTGGTCATGAAGCAGGCAGGGTTAAACAGAGGCAGACAGGTATATGGTGGGCAAGACACA